ATATATTTTTGTTAAGCATAATCAATTAAAAACTCAGGGTTATATTTTTATTATAAAATTATAAAAATTAATACTAATTATGTAATTTAAATAGCTCAAGAATATTTCCTAAATGAAATTTTTTCTAATTATGAACTTTAGCATGCTTTTTATATAATTGGTTTTATCAACAGGTTTTTTTTCATAAAATTATTTAAAAACCAGAAACTTTCCTAATTTAGGTAAATTGGAGAATCTAATTAATAAAAATCTTTGCTTCATAACTAGACTTTAGTTTAGGTGAAGATATGATTTATATTAAATTTATAAATGTATATTCTACATAAATACATTTATATACAAAAAATATTTACTTCACTTTATATTACTTATAATGATTAAAAGTGATTCAGAAAATTATTAAAATTCTATCTTTATAATGTTATATTTTTCCAACACTCAAATGTTTTGTATTTTTTAAATTTTTATCTTAAATCATTTCGTATGTCAATCAATTTCAACAAATCTATGAACACTATCTTTGTTAAATGATAATATGATGAAAATTTCATTATTCAAAAATTGATATTCCAAAAACTCTATTTTGATATCTTAGTTTCATACGAGTCTAGTAGAATTAAATATACTGTAGTATTTTAACAATTAAAATAACTGCCCAACTAATGGCAATGTTATTATTTAGATTGATTAAATCAATCCAAATATAGTCTTACTTTTCTATAATTAAATAATTGATATATTAATTAGTTCTTAAAGAAATTAATATTTTGATCTAATTTTAAAAGTTATTTTATTATGATATATAGGAAGTAAAAGAAAACAAATTTAAAATTTATAATGTTGAGTGTTTGAAAATCTTATAAAATTACTTTGGCAAAAAACAAAAATATAGTTTACTATTAAAAAAGTAATTTTATAATTTTTTGACTTTTTTACATATTTTGTATTGTTAATATTAAATGTATTTTATGGATTAATAAACCTTAGAAATTTCTGATTTGTTACATACAATCTATTTTACAATTTAGATTGTATATATATTTTTTAGTTTAGAAATACATTTTTAATGAGATATTTATTACCTATATATCTAAGCGTTATTAGTGTATTATAGATCTACTTTAGATTATCACTAATTTACCAATTATCTTTCATAAATTGAAAAACCTTGATTTTATGATATTAAATACGTTTCTTGCTTTTATGTTTTTGTCTAAACTTATTCAATTATAACATTATTAGGATTATTAGGGGATTAATGCATATTTGACATAGACTTTTATTATTCATTAATTTAAATTTGGTACTCTATTCATATTCTTATTCAGAAAGTTATGGATTATGAATTTAATTTGAAATTTACTAAAGGGTTTCGCATTATATTATATCTTATTTAGCATAAGAAGATTGAAGAGTGAAATTAGGATCATGAATTAATGATGACAAATATTGTGAAAAGCAAACATTTACAACCTATATATATATTAAAAGATTTTTTTATTAAAGATCAAATAATGACTTTATTTATTTAATGTAAATAAAAAATAAGATTGTTTGTATCTTAGGTATTGTAGTTTAAGAATTCGTTTATTTAATTAATATTTTAATCCTTTTTCTAAACATTATTCTTATCAATTTATTAATTAAATTATGAAGTTTATTGTCATATCAAATTTATATTTAATTAAAAAGATAATTAAAATAAATATTTTGACCAATAAAGGTTTTAAGTGATTACGGAATTACAATCGAGAAGGGAAGTTTTTGAGGAAATATCAAATTATAATCAAATACTGATATTTCTGTCTATTCAAGAATTAGAGAAGATTTATGAATCGACATATTTCTGAACTTAGAAGTCATCCTATCTGTAGTCAAGGAAAGTTTGCAAATTTAATGCTGAAATTTTGGAGAACCAGGCCTTGTAATCCTATATTCACAATTAGCCGATATTTAGTCCCCATCTTCATAGAAACAAGCAGAGTCTTATCCAAAACTTTAATTCATTTTGATATAGATAATTTAAAGTATTTTTCTAAATAAACTAAACAATCTTTAAATATCTAAATGTCATCTGTTCTTAATTTGTACTTCTGTAAAATATAGAATTTTGCATATCTTTTTTTAATTAAATGTATGCTTGGACTTTAAATTTAAAAAAAAAATCAATTAAAATAGAGTTATCAAAACTTTAATATCGTTTAGCGAAATTGATTTACAAAACTATCAAAAATGTATTTTAACTAGTATCTATTTCTTACAATTATACAATTTTTCAAGATTTAGAAATGATTATAATAAAATTCTATATATATTTTTGGTAAACTTATAAATTTATATTTTTTATAATTTTTTGATATTTTTTCAATTCTAAATTATAATATTTTATTTGATTTTTTTATTTAGCTTACTCATAGAAGGTGAAAGATAAATAAATAGTATTGATAATTCAAAATCATTTACTTAATAATCTATACGCATTATTCATATAAGAATATTTTTTATTTTATTATTAATCAGATTAAATTTTATTATGGTGCTAAAACCCTTCCACCATAAAGAAACATTTATGATTAAATATCCNAAATACTGATATTTCTGTCTATTCAAGAATTAGAGAAGATTTATGAATCGACATATTTCTGAACTTAGAAGTCATCCTATCTGTAGTCAAGGAAAGTTTGCAAATTTAATGCTGAAATTTTGGAGAACCAGGCCTTGTAATCCTATATTCACAATTAGCCGATATTTAGTCCCCATCTTCATAGAAACAAGCAGAGTCTTATCCAAAACTTTAATTCATTTTGATATAGATAATTTAAAGTATTTTTCTAAATAAACTAAACAATCTTTAAATATCTAAATGTCATCTGTTCTTAATTTGTACTTCTGTAAAATATAGAATTTTGCATATCTTTTTTTAATTAAATGTATGCTTGGACTTTAAATTTAAAAAAAAAATCAATTAAAATAGAGTTATCAAAACTTTAATATCGTTTAGCGAAATTGATTTACAAAACTATCAAAAATGTATTTTAACTAGTATCTATTTCTTACAATTATACAATTTTTCAAGATTTAGAAATGATTATAATAAAATTCTATATATATTTTTGGTAAACTTATAAATTTATATTTTTTATAATTTTTTGATATTTTTTCAATTCTAAATTATAATATTTTATTTGATTTTTTTATTTAGCTTACTCATAGAAGGTGAAAGATAAATAAATAGTATTGATAATTCAAAATCATTTACTTAATAATCTATACGCATTATTCATATAAGAATATTTTTTATTTTATTATTAATCAGATTAAATTTTATTATGGTGCTAAAACCCTTCCACCATAAAGAAACATTTATGATTAAATATCCTACTGATTTTACACATACTATAATATAATAATAACTTGTAGAAAAAATAGAATACTTTAATCAAATTCTCTGCTAATTTGAAAAAAGTAAATATTCAATATCATTATTAATTAATAATAAAAATTAGAATATACCTAGTAATTTGAATTTACTCCCCAACTAACTATGAAATGTGATCCAAGCTTTACTTAGCCCAAAAATCATACAATTTTATGAAAAAAATAAAGCTGAAAACTATAGGAATAAATTTTGAATCACAGCCATTTCTGTTAGAATTCAAATTTTTATGGCGCTGGTTTATTAAATGAATTAATTGTCTAGAATATATAAAATATGATTGAAGTTTTCCAATTTTATATAAAACAAAATGAACTCTTTGAATAAATTAATTTATATATCTGTATCAACTTTTATCATGCTCCTTCTTCAAAAAATTTGACAATCACTTCAATAGGAGCTTATTCTTTTTTATGATTTTCTAAAGCAATTTGCCCTTTTAGAGATTGTTGTGAATTCAACTCAATTTATTTGAAACCTTTGTTAATCATGAAAGTAAGCTTTTTTGCGAATAGATCTATCTTTAAAATATTTGTAAATGTGAATTTCAAATCTTCCAAAGCTATTTTTTTATTTAAGTCCTATTTCTATTGATTTAATACCATTATAATAAATTTCTCTATAACAGGAAATGTAAATTTAATTCTTTGAAACTCAGAATTCATTTCCATAACTATGATTTAATTTCTATATATTATTTTATTTAAATAATGAAATATTCAATCACTTATCTTGTTTTCTAATTTTAATCATTTTAAATATATTAAAGTCTTAGACCTATATAAAGGTTACTCTGCTTTTTAATAAAATGAGTATTTTCAGTATTTAAATATGGATATGAAAAGACCTGAAGATATGTAATAATACGCTCATTTTTTGTGAAAATACAAAAATTTATGGGTTTTTTCAATTATTATTATATTGAAATCCCAAGATTTATCAAGAGAAACAGAATTCGAATATTGTGGGGGGAGAGACATCAGGTTAATAAAATTTGACATCAAACTAGTTTGAGAAAATTGTTTAAATAATAATTTTTCAGAAGGGTTAGCAAGAGAAAGGAATTTATAAATAAGAACCTTATGTGGCATCTCTGTTATGATTTGTTTTAAAAACATGAATAGATTTAGAGAAATAAAAAGTTTTAAGTTTAAATTAATTTATTACAAAAATGACAAATATTTTAAAATGATTTTTGATATCTTAATAAAAAAACAGATTCAAAGATTTATTTAATTTACATATTTTGAAATTCTAATTAGAAGTTAATTTAGTTTAAATTTCATAATAACAAGTTTTAAATACTAAGTATTTTAATAATTATAGAATTTCTAAATAGAAGTAAAAAAATTGTTGAATAATTTTATAAAAGGTGGGGGGTTATCAAAGTTATTTCTTTAATACTCTAATAAAAATGATCATATTTATTTATTTTAAGCCTTTATTTTTCTTGGATTCATAAATTGTATCTATAATGTGTAGTCTAAGTAATCCGATTCAATTCAATTAAACTCAACAAAAAATAAAATATTATTTAATTAAAAAGTAGGATTGTTTTAATTTAATGATCACTTGGAATGAAAGAGGTTATAAAGGCTTTTATAATGCTGGCTTGAATTGGAGATATTAAAAAACTGATTATATAATTTAACAATCTTCAAATGGGGATTTATATTATATTTATGATGGAGCAATTTAAAAAATGTAATGTAGCAAATCTACCTGTTAAATAGTTTGCCTACATCCACATAAATTAAATAATCAGATATCATTAGAAATTTAGATGAAATATAATATTTATCATGGGAAGGAGTCTTGCTTAATAATAATAAAATTGGAAAGTGGAGTGCTTTTTGGAAATACGAAAACCTTAATATTGGTGGATATTATGATGAAAAAGGAATCAAATAAGGTCTTTGGAAAGAATTGTTTAAGAATTATTGGGAGTAAGAATGTTAAAATATATTAGTCAATCTTCAATAACTTTGAAAGGAGAATATAGAGATGAAAAAGCTAGAGGAAGATGGAACATATATTTTAAAGATACTACTTTGTATTTTATAATTATATTTAATAGTGGAGGTGGAAATTATGATGAAAATGGATTGATGTAAGGATTATGGGTTGAAATAGACGACTTTTTTTTAAAGTAATGATTATTATAATTAAAGTAAATGTAGAGTCTATTATGTTGGCAATTATAAATAAGGAAAAAAATCGGGTCTCTGGGATACCAAATATTAAGAAAAAATTGTGTAATTAATTTAAATTATAAATTTTAGAGGAGGAGGGATTTACAATGAAAATGGATAGAAAAATGGATTTTGGATTGAACTACATGAAAATTATTTCAAGTGTCATTTAGATTTATCATAGTTAATGCTATGTTCATTATTCTGGAAAATATTTGAAGGGAAAAAAGCACGGATAATGGTAAATAAAGTATAAGAAAAACACCTCAACATTTGAATAATTAATGTAATCCAATTTCTTATCATAAGTGGAGGAGGAATTTTTGACTTTGATGGAAAAAAATAAGGATAATGGGTGGAATTAGATGAAAATTTTTCCTAGTAAATTTTTAATATATAATAATAGATAATTTGATATAACACATTCAGGGAATTATTTCGATGGAAAAAAAAAAGGAACTTGGAGATGTATGATGAGAATAGACACTGAGATTACTTAAATGTATTTGAATGTTTAATTTAGTGGTTTTGGTGTTTACAATAAAAATGGATTGAAAAATGGAAAATGGATGGAGTTACATGAAAATTCGATATTGTACATACTATTAAAACTTATCATAAAGCAGAGACCCTATTACTTGTATCGGAGAATATAGAAATGGAGTTAGGATAGGAAAATGGAGAACATTTTTTTGCAATTAATTGACGTATCAGATGATAGATTAATAAGTGGGTTAGGAATTTATGATTTTAATGGAAGAAAAACAGGTTAATGGAGGATTCTAAGGAAAAATTTTAATAAGTATTTTAAGTAGAAAATATTTTAGATATAATTAATTTATTGAATTAGGTAGTTTTGAGAATGACTAGAAATTTGGATTTTGGTAAACTCTATTTAACGTAGGGTTAGTTATTATGTAAATTGTTAAAATAAACAATTTTTTAGGGGAAAAGGATTTTATAATTCATATGGCTTAAAAGAAGGCCATTGGATAGATTTGGATGAGAATAATTATATGGACTAATTTGTTGCTTATGAAGGAGATTATATAAATGGAAGGAAATTTGGAAGATGGGATACAATTTTTAGAATAAAGTGTGATGATTCATTTACAATCATGTATCATAGATAGTTAATATTAAGTGGTGGGGGAAATTATGATGATAAAGAGATAAAAAATGGCAAATGGATTGATTTGATTGAGAGCTTTTCATAGTAATAGTGTTAAAGTTTAAAAGAAACCGGTATGTAATGTTTTCAGGATAATACAAATGTGGAAAAAAACAGGGAAGATGGGATACCCTATTTAAAGAATTTGATGTAAAATATCAAAACTTATTGAAAAATGTGTAAATATTTTAATAGAAAAATTAGTGGGGGAGGTAATTATGACATGAATGGTAAAAAAGAGGGTTAATGGATAGATTTACACGAAGAATTTTGGACGTAAGTTTACAAATATCAATATAGAGTTAGAAGAACAATATATTAGGGAGAATATTTCAAAGGCAGAAAAAAAGGATCTTTTGTATAAAAAAAAATATGAGGCTTCATTATATAATTTAGATATTATACAATTACAATTTTAAGTTATATTATATAATCGATAATATGCATTAGTGAATTTTAATTTATTTTTTTTATTTCAAGAGTTTCAGTTTTATTTTATTATACTGATTTATCTCTAGAGTCCAGGCTTGAAATTAGAAGGGCTCTGAGAGACATGTCTATTTTTCTTGTATAACTATAGAGGAGGCTTCTACCTTTAGTTTTAAGTAATGGTGTCAGATGGAACTTCAGAGTTTCTGTTCTAGGAATCTCCATGAAGTCTGGATCAGGGAAAATAATATGATTTTAAGGAGTGTGCATTTGTCACCGTGCCCGATTCATATATACAATGGATAAGAAGAAGGTTTGTTGTTTTAGAGCCTTCTCTTATCCAACTGTTATTACAATATAATCAACTTAATATGCTTTAACAATGTTGAGAATTGGGAAGGCATTAATATTTTTTTAGAGAATCATTAAAACACTCTGTTTTAATCTAAAATATAACCAAATAATGAGAAAAATACTTTGTAATAAATTAAAAAATCAATTTTTATCTTATTGAATACGAAAATTTATAGCAAAAAACAATTACTTTTATTTAATTTATGAAATTTGTTCTTGTGTAAAATATTTAACATTTATATCAATTTTTAAAATTATGATCTCATTATTGATTGATTTGAAGTAAATAAATTCTTAATTCTTAATATTTGATAATAATTTAAAATAATAATAAAATCTTTATTTTGATAATTAATATTTGATAACAATTTAAAATATTAAATATGTATTTTAAAAATTAAAAAAAATAGTAATTATTGTATTTTTTTTTTAATATTTTAAAATGATATTTATTGAAAAAATATATAATTTTAATAAAATACAAATGATGAAAAAACTAAATAATTATTTTTAACATCTTTATAACTTAATACAAATTTATTGATTTCATAAAACAATTTTATATTATAAAAATTATTATAAGAAGATTCAATTAAATTATAAAAAAGTAAGAGTTATTTAACACTGATATAGTCGTTTAAAAGTAAAATAATTTATGGAATACATTTAAAATGCCTTGATGAATGATGATTTGCCTATGTCATGGTACCTTGTAAACTTCGAAAATTTTAAATATTAAATTTTTGAATGAACTTTGTTAATTAATTTTATAAATAAAATAAGAATACAACCACAATTAAAGTGAATAAAAATTCATTTCTTAGCTCCATTTTTTTATCTAATAATGTTCGTATATATTGAATCGAATTTTTGTTAATATATTAAAAATTAAATACAAAATTTGGAAAAAAGTAATTAGAAATATTAATATACTTTTATTTAAATAATGTTATATCAATAGTAGAATATATAAATATATCAAAAAATAATAAATCTCATCTTTCTGTAAATAATTAAAAATTTTAGCAATTATTTTTATTAAAAAATATAATTACAAAAATTCGAATAAGGATAAATTATTCTTGTAAAAATTATTTATTAATTATTTAGAATAGAATAATTTATCAATTAATTTATATGGATTTTAATTTCTCATAAATGTAATCAGTATCTGTTGTTCCTGCAAGTAATGCATCTTCATACGCGGTAATCGCCTCTGAATATTTCTATATTTCAAATAATGAATCAGCTAAGATTATTTAAATAATATACCTTTTTTTATTAGATATTACACATCTTAAAATATGAATAGAGCGATATCAAATTATGTTATAGCCTCTTGAAATCTTCCTAGATTATGTAAAGCAACTCCTATTTTACTTAATTATTATTTACCATTTAAGGCATAAGCTTTATGCTAAGTTTTATCTAAATTTATAACAGTTTAGAATGATTCTATAGCTTCTTCATATCTATTCAATTTGAGTTGACTACTTCCTTGAATGAATTCATATTGATACCCCTTATAAGATATGATCCAAAACGTTAAGAATCAATTTAGATAGCTAAGTTGGAAAACTGAATGGCTTCTTCATGAAGCTCTAAAAGATTTAAACATTAAGCTAATATTAATTGTATTTTTTACCTTTATTTTTATGGGCAATCCAATTATTAGAATCTCTTTCAATAATTTTATCAAAGAGTTTAATAGCTTCTTTATAATTTTCTGACTTAATTAGAATATCACCTTGGTAGAGATGAGCATTTAGAAATTCTTCATAAGGGGATTTTTTATCTTATAAGTTTAGTTTTTAATAAGATTATAAATCTTCTAGTGGTATCTTTCAATGTATATCTAATAAATTACTCCTATAAATTTGCCAAATTAATAATTAAAATTAACTTAATTATCTTATTCTAAAGTAGAATTAAGAGTAGTTTCAAATTATGTTTATTCAATTATTTCATTTGATGTTTATTCTTTCTTATTATCAGGTAAATCATTGAGTTCATTCTTATATTAAGTCTAATTTATTTCTTTAATCAATGAGATCTAAGAATCAGAAAGTACCTCAAATAAATTGAATAATGATTACTTACTTTTACTTAGATTTTCAAGAATTATTTAATTAGTAATATTAATGATTTTCTTTATATTTAATGAATCTTGTAGGTTCATGTTTTCATAGTTAAACAAGTGAATATGTTATTAAAATAATGAAAATACTTCTCTAGGATATTCTTTTTCAATAATTTCAATAGCTTAATCAAACCTTTGGTGTTTTATTAAGGTTTCAACTTAGAATTATTAATTCTATTACTTTCTTTTAAAGATATTTCATAAAATTAGGAATCATCTTTAATAATTCTATCACATTCTTCAAAAACATCATGATATTTTTTCATATGCATTAAGCATTGTACTATTAATTTTATGACTTTGAGAAATACTTTTCCAATAAAGAGCTTATTAATTAGATTTTTCAACTTTTAAAAGATTTTCGAAAACGTCAAATGATTATTAAAAATGATAGTTTTTAAATAAGTCAATACCTAAAATTGAATATTACATACATACCTTATTAAAACATGACATCTATAGTTTCTTATTTTAGATCTATTGATTAATAATCAGTTTGATCTTGTTCGGTATGAATCTTCTAATTTTATTTTTCAAAAGTAAATATATCTAAATCCTATTTTTATAAGTATTCAATTATTTAATATAGTTGATTAATCAAATAGGCTTTTATATTTAATATAATTTACTATCCTAATTTAGTTCTCTTTTCGTATAATAATTCTTTAGAAAATCTATATCAGAATCTGTAGGATAATAATATTTTTCTTTCATAAGTTAATTGATTGAATTTAACTATTCAAAATATTCTTGACTTCGATTTAAAAATTTCAAATAGAGTTCGTCGAATTTAAGCTTACAATCTTTTACTTTTTCAACAAATTCTTAATAGGCTTTTTAATATTCTATTAGCTAATTTGAGAGAATTTTAAAAGTTTTGCATTCTCTTTAATGTTGAGAATGAAATTATTTGAAACATTAAAAGCAAGATATTGCCTTACTATCACATACATTCGATAAACATATTCCAATTATAGGCTCTTGATGATCAAATATAGTGCATCTTTATTGTGACATTAGGAAAATATTATTTTCGATTAATTAATAAGCTTAATAAGAATCATAGCATATACATATGTAGTAGTAATAAGATATGTAATTTGAGTTAATAGAAAGTATAAATTCTCTAATTTATAGTATAAAGTTTAGTAAATAAAGGTAGATAACAAGAAGCCTTAAAATAATGTGATATTGCAATATCAGAAAATTCGAATTAAGTATAATTATATGCTATCAAAAGTATATTTATTAGTATAAATCTATATTTAGCAAAGATTTTAGAATCATTAGGCCTTCAAAATGAAGTTATTGATATTTGGGAATAAGGCATTCAAAATAATAAAAATGATTTTCTCTTTTATTATGAGAAAGGTTTTAATACTGTATTGTAAATTAGTTTTTGCTTTAAGAAGATAATAGAAATATGAAGAGATAATTAAATGTTATGATTAAGGAATAATGAATAACAAGAATTAAGCTATATATTATAATTTTAAATGTATTTCATATATTCATTTATTTTAATAGATATTGAATTAGAAAAATAGGATAGATTAGTTGAGGCCATTTAAGTTTGGGATTTAGCAATTGAAAATAATAAAACAGACTCATATTATTATAGATAGAAAAGTAACAAAAATTTATGAATGAAATAGTATAAGCTTTGATAAAATGTTTTGGGGAAGATAATTGTTAGAAATAGATTTTTGAATGTTGGGATTATGGAATATAAAATGGAAATAATAATCTATTTTTTATAAAATCTAAAGGTANTAATTTTATTTTTCAAAAGTAAATATATCTAAATCCTATTTTTATAAGTATTCAATTATTTAATATAGTTGATTAATCAAATAGGCTTTTATATTTAATATAATTTACTATCCTAATTTAGTTCTCTTTTCGTATAATAATTCTTTAGAAAATCTATATCAGAATCTGTAGGATAATAATATTTTTCTTTCATAAGTTAATTGATTGAATTTAACTATTCAAAATATTCTTGACTTCGATTTAAAAATTTCAAATAGAGTTCGTCGAATTTAAGCTTACAATCTTTTACTTTTTCAACAAATTCTTAATAGGCTTTTTAATATTCTATTAGCTAATTTGAGAGAATTTTAAAAGTTTTGCATTCTCTTTAATGTTGAGAATGAAATTATTTGAAACATTAAAAGCAAGATATTGCCTTACTATCACATACATTCGATAAACATATTCCAATTATAGGCTCTTGATGATCAAATATAGTGCATCTTTATTGTGACATTAGGAAAATATTATTTTCGATTAATTAATAAGCTTAATAAGAATCATAGCATATACATATGTAGTAGTAATAAGATATGTAATTTGAGTTAATAGAAAGTATAAATTCTCTAATTTATAGTATAAAGTTTAGTAAATAAAGGTAGATAACAAGAAGCCTTAAAATAATGTGATATTGCAATATCAGAAAATTCGAATTAAGTATAATTATATGCTATCAAAAGTATATTTATTAGTATAAATCTATATTTAGCAAAGATTTTAGAATCATTAGGCCTTCAAAATGAAGTTATTGATATTTGGGAATAAGGCATTCAAAATAATAAAAATGATTTTCTCTTTTATTATGAGAAAGGTTTTAATACTGTATTGTAAATTAGTTTTTGCTTTAAGAAGATAATAGAAATATGAAGAGATAATTAAATGTTATGATTAAGGAATAATGAATAACAAGAATTAAGCTATATATTATAATTTTAAATGTATTTCATATATTCATTTATTTTAATAGATATTGAATTAGAAAAATAGGATAGATTAGTTGAGGCCATTTAAGTTTGGGATTTAGCAATTGAAAATAATAAAACAGACTCATATTATTATAGATAGAAAAGTAACAAAAATTTATGAATGAAATAGTATAAGCTTTGATAAAATGTTTTGGGGAAGATAATTGTTAGAAATAGATTTTTGAATGTTGGGATTATGGAATATAAAATGGAAATAATAATCTATTTTTTATAAAATCTAAAGGTACAATAAAAAGAAATTAATTAAGTTAAAGCCTTAGAAAATTTAGAAAGATTAGATGAAGCAATTGTATTTTTGAGTAAAGAAATATAGCAGTATAAGAATGTTGAATTCCTTTATGAGTTAAAGAGTAAGAAAAATACAGTAATTATTAGCCAACTATTTAAAGAAATTAAATAGATTGGAAGAGATTATTGAATGTTGGAATGAAGGTATCCACTATAATCCATATAATAAATGTTTTTATTAATAAAGAAGTTTATTTATTATTATTTAAGTTTTAGTTAAAGCATTAGAAGAATAAGGGAATATAGAATAAATTATAGAAGAGGCAAATAAATGCATTTATTAATTTAATGATTTGATCTTTTATTAAGCCAAAGGTAATTATTATGATAACATTAATAGCAAAATGTTTATTGATATAAGGTAAGCTTTAAGAGGTGATTGATTGTTGGGATTAAGGAATTAAAAATAATTAATCAAATAGTTCATTTTATATCGAAAAAAGTATTACATAAATATATTTTAAGATTATGCTCTACAGCTTTAAGAAAGATGGATTGATTCCATATAATGTTGCGATTCAGCACTTTTAAATGAATCCAATAATGAAGAAATAATTTCAAAAAAAGGTTATTTAAATTAATAATTTCTAGTTATTTCTCTAATAGAATTACATAATTTCCGATAAGCTAATTAGTATCATCGCTTGATTCATCCTAATGTACCTATACCTTTCAAATTTTGATTATGTAATTCTAGCATTTTTATCGTAACAAATTGATAAATCCTTTTTTTTCGGTAAATAATAACTTTATAATATTTCTAAAAATCAATACAGTTCTATTTTCTATGATAGAAGGAGCAAACTATTAGATATAAACTAATTCATATAAAAAAGTTAGCATTCAGAGGATATCCAAAGTAATTTATTTTTATATTAAAATATAAGTAGTTTTCATTCTAAAAATATTAATATTATTAATCAATAATATATAGTAAAAATCATATACTTATTAACAAAATGTGCTAGTATAAATTATATGAGTAAAATAGAGAATTTATCAAATTCTCATTATCCTTATGTAATTATAGGATTACCAATTAATTCAAAATGAGATTTGTCTATCTAAAAATACTAAAAGTCTCAAAATATTATAAAATTCATAATACCCAGCTTTGGAATTAAGAATCTAAAATTAATATTTATTAATTGTCGAAAAAGATTATTTTTTTACTATATCTTCTATTTGATGCTATAATAATGTTGTTAATTATTTAGAGCAATAATGTAATTAGTATAAAATTTATAATGTATTTATTGCTATTACTCTCAATAGTCTCGAACATTAATCAAATGAATGAATTAAATTTAGATTATATTAGTTCTAAAATGTTTAAATATTTATAATTTTTTTATAAATCAATAGTTATTAATTTTTAACTTTTGAATGAAAGAAGAGACGATGAATTAAAAATCTTTTAAGAAATATGAGTCAGAAAGCAGGATTACATATATGATTTCATTTAAACATTAAAAAGACTAAAATTAAATCAACTTAGAATTCCTAATTCCTCTCATTAATTAAAAAAAAATATTATAATTTTTGATAAATAACTATTCAAAATTAATATGAATCTATTTATCTTCTTATTTATAGTATGATTATCATTTGATTTTGACTTAGAGTTTTTCCTTGTATTATAGATTGTTTGTTTTATACCTTTTCAAATAATTATGATTTATCTAATACTATTTGTCTGAGTTTTTGAAGATGACATTTACTTTTTATATATTATTTAATTTAAGTTTTTCCGCAAATGATTAATATTATTTATTCTGTAAAATTAAGTTTCTTTGGTTTTCAGCTTGTTTATATAAATAATTAATCATGATTTCATTTTAATCTTTTAATTGATTAATTTCTTAAGAATTTTCTAAATGATTTCATTAATTTTATTTTATTCTAACTTTTTACTATTTTCTAATTACTAAATTTATATATCCTTTAGTTGTAAATTACTATTAATTCTATGAAATTATCCTTCTAGAATATTTGTTTTACATTCTAATTAATTTTAATAAAATTCCTGAATTTATTTAATTTTAAGTTCCAATGAAAATTTACTTGATTTTTCATCATGAGTTATCTGTTTAAATTTAAGCAATTCACATTATAAAATCTAGATCAAAGATATTTTTGATTCAGTAATATTAAAAATCTCAAAATTATTTATTCTTTTATTCTTATTCTAAATAATTCTGAAGTCCTTTTATTAATAATTAATCTTTTTCTTTTGATTTTGAAAAAGTAAAATTTTATTTTGTATATTTTACAATTTGTTAAATTAATTCATCAATTCTTGCCTACAATTAAATATTTTAGGATTAAATCATTTGTTAATATCACTTTCTAATTCTTTAATCTTATTATTTAAGTTTATTTCACATAAATATTATGAATTAGTTAGTTATTTATATTTTTGTTATTGATCCATAAATTCTTCATTCTAATCTTTCTATATTTAAAGTTTCTATTTAACTTAATTTAGATTCTAATGTGTTATTAAGTTATTTGACTTAAATCAATTCAGTTTCCTAGATAAATATATATAAATTACTAATTCTTATACTAAATTTTAGTTATGATATTCAGCACTGGATATTTAAGTTAGGCTTTATTATAATTTGGCAACTTCAGTTTTGTACTTATTTTATACCTATTTTAGGATCTATTTATGATTAATATCTTGTTATTCTAATTGATATTTGAATGTCTTAGCATCCTATTTCCAATTAATATTTGTTTTTTGATACCATCTTGATGAAATTTTTATTATTATTCTAACTTTTGCTATAAGGATTCAATTTATTACTTTAAAAATATATATATATATATAGTATACTTTAAGATCTAGATTATCATGATATCCAAAGTGATTGTAAGAGATGGAAGTTATTTTATTTGATTTTTAAGTTTTAGATTTTCAGTTTAAAGTCAATCAATTTCCTAAAGAATGTTTAGATTTCAGTTATTGATTTATTGGACTACTCTTGACATGTTTTAATTGAGTTAAAAGATTGGAGTGGTTGTCTTATATTCATAAATTAACGGATAAAAATTAATTTTATTATGATTTAATAAATTTATTCACATATATATTTATATACAAACATGAAATTGGTTGTGTCACATGCCAACTCTAGTTATTAGTTATATTGGATCTGATTAATTAGATTATTTAAGTTTATATCCACAACACTTAGTTTGTATAGAATTCTATATTTCGAAGAATATTTTACTGCAGCCAATTTATCTCTAATCAATTCTTATTTGTATTATTTACGGTGTGCAAATAATATAGTTTTGGCAGAAGAATACTTGATTCCAGCTTTGTTAGCAGCCTAAATAATAATTTATTTGGTATTGTTTACATCATGGATTTTGTAGCTATGAAATAGAAAGAGCTAGAGAAACAATTTTTTGGCATCAGATGTAATATATGTGTAATTTCGTGGTTTAGATTCTTATTTACGCTTTTTTGAGAAGTGGCGTCTCTTAATGAATGTAAATTATGTCTGATCAACAGAACCCATGACGTAATGAATTTATTTTAAATTTAATAAAATATTTAATATTAATAAAAATATAATAATTAAATTACATAAAAATTAAATAGGTATTCAAACACTATCATCTTTACGATCTTCTGGTTATTATTGTTTATTTTTATCATTGGCTTTTGTTTATTTTTTTGTTCTTTTTGATTGTTTAGGTGGTTCTTAAGGTTCAACATTGGCAGGAGTTGTTACTGAAGCTGGTTAAATTACTGTATCATCTTTTTTTCTATTATTTTTCTTTGCAGATGCTGGTTATTAAACAGTTGGAGGAGCTTATTAAGGAGGTTAAGCAGGAACTTCTTGTTTTGTTTTACGTGGTCTTGATGTAGCAGGTGGAATATATTATTAAGCTGTTGGAGGAGTTTAAGCAACCTATGGTGGTAATGCTGATTATAATGGTAATTATGTTTATATAGGCATAGCTGATTATGGAGGAGGTTATTATTATGGCATTATAATATTTTAGGTACTATTGATACCTTCTATTGTTGTTGGTTTTGATTAATATTGATTAATTTGTAATCCAGAATTTGGTGGTTAGTTATTATACTTCATAGTTTAAGGAAACATTCTTTATCCTGCTTATAGTTATTACTTAAAATTTTTCCTCTAAAAATTAAAAAATATTATATACAAATTCTTTTTTAATTTATTCAATAGGATAACAATCTTATCTAGCAATATCATATATGTTTTTATATCTTTTTTCAATATGTCCTTTTGAATTGTTAACAGATTTAACCAATTCTTTCAAATTAGAAAATGAAAGTTTTTCAACCATTGAATAATCAGCTTATCCAGAAGTCTTAATCTATATAGGATCATCAAATTTAATTTTAGTTAGTAATTCTTTGAAAACAGACTTATTATATTGTTTAAATGGTATCTATGGAAGAGATCTTAAATGTTATATTTTAGTTGGTAATTTCTTCTAAATAAGTTATTCATAATCATTTAGTATATTAGTGTATTAAGTTTATTGTTATTAAGATTTCTAAATTTATTTAATTGTTTCACATTTCTTTTAATATTGTTAAGGCAAGATAAATTTAGAATTTGATGGAATACTCTTATTAAATATCAACCAAGCATAAAGATCAGCACAGAAATTAGGAGTATACAAATACAAATTAGCTGTGACTGTATTTGATGATAAGGCTTAACTAACTTAATTAAAATCTCCTTAGAATTTCTAAAAATAACTAAAAAATTTGATTATGTATAATTATTACTATATGAAATATTGTTTGACTAATTCATTTGATTTTGTTATTGATTAAGCATGTGAATTGAATCTTTCAGCATTTAAAGGTATAAATTTTCCATTCTGCTAAATAAAATGACAATCTTTTTCTATATAATTATATTTGTATCGAAACAAATCTTTTAATTCCAATTATGGAAGTAATTGTTATTCTACAACTTAATTACTTGAAAATATCTTCATTCTATAATTAATATGATTTAATACTTCTTCATCATCTTTTCTCCATCATTTAATACCTATTCAGGAGTACAACCAATTGTATATAATAATTCTTCATATTCTGGATCCAAACAAGGTTCTTAATAATATGATTTTGCTTTATATTTGAAAATCATATCCAAAGAAGTTGGAAAACTCTCTATACTCATCATACTCTTCTCAAAAGATTCTTTTAATGGAATATCTTTATTCACAAACAATTACAGAGCCTCTTATAGATTCTCATATTTTTTCTTAAAATCGAAATCATATGTTTATTTAATCTTCCTTCTATCATTAGAATGAATATCATGAGTATTTGATTCTGAATATGTTTATTACATATCTGGAAATAATGATTCCAAAGAGACATAAATATCTCTATTAGTTGATAAGTATCTTTTCACTTTTTGAAGAGCATCTTAATATCTCTATTCATCTAATTCTTAATTATCACTCTTCATTATTCTCAAATATTTTTATATTGGCTTTTGATTTGGTTCTTCAATATCTAATTCTATACTAAAATTATAATTACCCATTTAATTAAATGCTTTCTATACCATCTGACATAATGAATAAGAAATACAAATTCCAAATTACTCTATTTCTTCCCTCTCTTTCTATAACATCTAATGATTTGCCTTTGCTTCCTATGCCAATTAATAATTCACAGCTATCTATATATTAATATAAATTATTCTTTTACTTTCCATTTCTATCTCTCTGAAAAATCAAGTGCCTTCAATTGTACATCATTCATTACTTATTACCAAACTTTTGGAACTCTTCGAATCTAAAATTACTTTCCATCTATACCTCTTAATTTGTTTGATCATGCATATTTACTTTTGGTATGTATGGTTTCTTTAATGCACATATTTTTTCAGATAGCACATATTTTCTAATATATAAATCTGGCAATGATATATAAAGATCCTTTTATCTTAATATTATCATACTTCCTATTATTTCACTGTATTTCGAGATTAAACTGGTACGGCTTCTAATTGTCTAGTGTCCATTATGAAATATTATAATTTTTATATTTTATAATTAACTCATTTCAATTTTATGTTCCCTATTTATTCTCCAAAATCAATGATAGAATTATCNAAGATTTCTAAATTTATTTAATTGTTTCACATTTCTTTTAATATTGTTAAGGCAAGATAAATTTAGAATTTGATGGAATACTCTTATTAAATATCAACCAAGCATAAAGATCAGCACAGAAATTAGGAGTATACAAATACAAATTAGCTGTGACTGTATTTGATGATAAGGCTTAACTAACTTAATTAAAATCTCCTTAGAATTTCTAAAAATAACTAAAAAATTTGATTATGTATAATTATTACTATATGAAATATTGTTTGACTAATTCATTTGATTTTGTTATTGATTAAGCATGTGAATTGAATCTTTCAGCATTTAAAGGTATAAATTTTCCATTCTGCTAAATAAAATGACAATCTTTTTCTATATAATTATATTTGTATCGAAACAAATCTTTTAATTCCAATTATGGAAGTAATTGTTATTCTACAACTTAATTACTTGAAAATATCTTCATTCTATAATTAATATGATTTAATACTTCTTCATCATCTTTTCTCCATCATTTAATACCTATTCAGGAGTACAACCAATTGTATATAATAATTCTTCATATTCTGGATCCAAACAAGGTTCTTAATAATATGATTTTGCTTTATATTTGAAAATCATATCCAAAGAAGTTGGAAAACTCTCTATACTCATCATACTCTTCTCAAAAGATTCTTTTAATGGAATATCTTTATTCACAAACAATTACAGAGCCTCTTATAGATTCTCATATTTTTTCTTAAAATCGAAATCATATGTTTATTTAATCTTCCTTCTATCATTAGAATGAATATCATGAGTATTTGATTCTGAATATGTTTATTACATATCTGGAAATAATGATTCCAAAGAGACATAAATATCTCTATTAGTTGATAAGTATCTTTTCACTTTTTGAAGAGCATCTTAATATCTCTATTCATCTAATTCTTAATTATCACTCTTCATTATTCTCAAATATTTTTATATTGGCTTTTGATTTGGTTCTTCAATATCTAATTCTATACTAAAATTATAATTACCCATTTAATTAAATGCTTTCTATACCATCTGACATAATGAATAAGAAATACAAATTCCAAATTACTCTATTTCTTCCCTCTCTTTCTATAACATCTAATGATTTGCCTTTGCTTCCTATGCCAATTAATAATTCACAGCTATCTATATATTAATATAAATTATTCTTTTACTTTCCATTTCTATCTCTCTGAAAAATCAAGTGCCTTCAATTGTACATCATTCATTACTTATTACCAAACTTTTGGAACTCTTCGAATCTAAAATTACTTTCCATCTATACCTCTTAATTTGTTTGATCATGCATATTTACTTTTGGTATGTATGGTTTCTTTAATGCACATATTTTTTCAGATAGCACATATTTTCTAATATATAAATCTGGCAATGATATATAAAGATCCTTTTATCTTAATATTATCATACTTCCTATTATTTCACTGTATTTCGAGATTAAACTGGTACGGCTTCTAATTGTCTAGTGTCCATTATGAAATATTATAATTTTTATATTTTATAATTAACTCATTTCAATTTTATGTTCCCTATTTATTCTCCAAAATCAATGATAGAATTATCTTACTAAAGGATTTGATTGTTTCAATAAGTCATATTTGATAATTAATTTTTAAATTGGAATTGATACACTACTGCCCAAAAATTCTAAAATATTACATATTCTTAATGTTAATAATTTCTATTTCTTGTCATTGAATATCTAATATATTCATAAATTTTTAATTGTAGTTTATATATCTAATTTATTTTTATTTCAAATTATCAAGACTTAATTAAGTTTTTCAAGATATATTAAATTATCTTATAATGTTAAAATTAATAAACAATCAAAAGAGAATCATTTCAAGTTTCCATTAACAAAGACATTTTATATGTCTTATATTTAAATATAGTAATTCTATGTAACCATTAAATTAATATAAATAATTCTCAAATCACATATTTAAATTTCATTTTTTACAAAATATCTATAATAAATATACGTTTATATGTGATTATAATTTATTTTCTTATTTTTGAATTATGAATCATTCAATTATGAAAGTTAATAGATAATATAGAGCTATGAGTAAATTTGAGACAAAATAAGATAGAAGTGCTTTTATTTATAGAAATCCATAAACAATTCTGAGAGAACTGTTATTTGAATAAAATGTATAGTAAATTCATTAATTAAAGATTATATAGACTTTAATAAGCAAAGAATAACAAATGCAAAATGTTCCTTTAAATTCCAATGTCTTGTCAATATTCTTTAGATATACCAGATATAGATGAATATTTTGGAAATAAGGATAAAATATACAATTAAAAAATCTAAGATTATAAAAGAAAAGTAAATAGTTGTAGAAATAGATTGGAAAAATTGAAATTTAGGATTAATGATTAACAAATATTAGAAGATGAATATTAAGACATTAATAAATAATAAAAAATTAAATAAATTAATAATGATAATTCAAGTTAAGAGAAAAAGGATTATTTTTATTATGAAAATAGAATTCATACTACAATAAATGAAAATTATTAACTAAAAAGTAATTAAGTTAATAAATTCAATCAGAAATTATATTCTTTAATGAGTAATCGTGATAGATCATTAGAATAGAAATCTTAGAGATTAAAGAACATAATTTAAGGTTAAAAATACTTAGATGATACATAAAATTTACTTAAAAAATCTCGTAATTATAGTGTTCAACAAAGCAGATCATAAATTAAAATTACTTTATATATTAAAGTCCTCATAAAAATAATAAGATAGTATTGATATTGAAAAAAAGAAAAAATTGGAATAATTAAGGGACCAAATAGCAAATGGATATTTTACAGAAATATGATTATAATATTTAATAATACTAATATTTTTAGTAGATTTAGGNTACTAAAGGATTTGATTGTTTCAATAAGTCATATTTGATAATTAATTTTTAAATTGGAATTGATACACTACTGCCCAAAAATTCTAAAATATTACATATTCTTAATGTTAATAATTTCTATTTCTTGTCATTGAATATCTAATATATTCATAAATTTTTAATTGTAGTTTATATATCTAATTTATTTTTATTTCAAATTATCAAGACTTAATTAAGTTTTTCAAGATATATTAAATTATCTTATAATGTTAAAATTAATAAACAATCAAAAGAGAATCATTTCAAGTTTCCATTAACAAAGACATTTTATATGTCTTATATTTAAATATAGTAATTCTATGTAACCATTAAATTAATATAAATAATTCTCAAATCACATATTTAAATTTCATTTTTTACAAAATATCTATAATAAATATACGTTTATATGTGATTATAATTTATTTTCTTATTTTTGAATTATGAATCATTCAATTATGAAAGTTAATAGATAATATAGAGCTATGAGTAAATTTGAGACAAAATAAGATAGAAGTGCTTTTATTTATAGAAATCCATAAACAATTCTGAGAGAACTGTTATTTGAATAAAATGTATAGTAAATTCATTAATTAAAGATTATATAGACTTTAATAAGCAAAGAATAACAAATGCAAAATGTTCCTTTAAATTCCAATGTCTTGTCAATATTCTTTAGATATACCAGATATAGATGAATATTTTGGAAATAAGGATAAAATATACAATTAAAAAATCTAAGATTATAAAAGAAAAGTAAATAGTTGTAGAAATAGATTGGAAAAATTGAAATTTAGGATTAATGATTAACAAATATTAGAAGATGAATATTAAGACATTAATAAATAATAAAAAATTAAATAAATTAATAATGATAATTCAAGTTAAGAGAAAAAGGATTATTTTTATTATGAAAATAGAATTCATACTACAATAAATGAAAATTATTAACTAAAAAGTAATTAAGTTAATAAATTCAATCAGAAATTATATTCTTTAATGAGTAATCGTGATAGATCATTAGAATAGAAATCTTAGAGATTAAAGAACATAATTTAAGGTTAAAAATACTTAGATGATACATAAAATTTACTTAAAAAATCTCGTAATTATAGTGTTCAACAAAGCAGATCATAAATTAAAATTACTTTATATATTAAAGTCCTCATAAAAATAATAAGATAGTATTGATATTGAAAAAAAGAAAAAATTGGAATAATTAAGGGACCAAATAGCAAATGGATATTTTACAGAAATATGATTATAATATTTAATAATACTAATATTTTTAGTAGATTTAGGTAATAAATCTTGGAATTAATTTTAATCAATCAATTAGAGTATCTAGATTTATATTTTAATTACATAGTATAAATCATATTTTAGTATTTATATTAGAATAATTTTCTAGTGAATGGTCAGTATTTTTAATCATATACAATATGCAATCCAAACATTCCCTTAAGATAGTATAGAAATCAAAGTCACTCATTTTTAGAGTCATCCTACTTTATTCTAGATTATAATAGTCTTCTTTATAATTGCATATATAATATTTCTTAATTTGTTAATGTAATTATTACAACGAATTCTTTAATTCTTGACTTATAACTTAAATATTTTAACATTTAAGATAATTAAGTGAGGTTTATATTTAGTTTTTTTCATATTTCAGTTATTCATTCTGTTTAATAATTTATTAACATTATTCTTCCAATTATTCCATTTAGGGTTATAGATTGTTGAATTATTATAATTATTTCATCAAATTCTTATTCTATAAATCTAATTATGCAATCTTATTCTATTAATCTCTTATAATGCTATCTTTTTATAATAGAATGGTCAACAATTATTTTTTTTCTTTTTATATTTATTCAACAACAAGAGTATGATTATAAGTTTAATTAATCTTTTTTTCTTATGATGGAAATTTAAATTCTTATTTGTTGATGGATGTTGATGATTTTTTTAATAGATCATCAATTTTATTATTAACCTCACTCAAACGAGAATTACTTTATGGTGTTTGAATAGTGCTTGGATTACTAGATCTAAATGATAAATTAGTAAGATGAGTTGAGGTTGATCTAGAAAACTTCATTTAACGTTGTTTTATTTTTTTAATATATAAATTAGAGTTCAAGAAGGTGCTTAATTTTCTTAAAAAATATATTAGTATATTATATAATTGAGATCTTAAATAATATGTATATTTATATATATATATATAAGTTTATTTAATAAAAAAAATATCTTTGTAAATGAGTTTCTCAAAGTAAGAATCAATCATTTAGTCATCATTAACAAAATCACATATGCGTTACTTGTCTCCTCAACTTGGAGAACGCAATGGAGGGTCTGTAATTCAACGAGAAACAATAGTGAATCCATAGCTAAGAGAATCATAATTTTTATTATCATCTACTCCAAGAGAGACTGTCATACCTTTAGATGTTCAATATACTGTCACTAAAAAGGTAGATTAATAAAACTTTTCTGATTATGAAGTCAGGATCTAATCTCTATTGCATGAAGTAGAATTATGGAGAAAACGATATTTAGATTTGATGGCCATTTATGACAAAAACATAGCAAATGAAGAAGTGGTATAAATATATTATTAATATGATTAGATAAAATTATAAGAGGCCAAGATTCAATTATTATATGGAGAGAACAATGATTTGTATGCATAAAATAGATCACTCATGAAAGAGAACGATGAATTGAAATAGAGATTAAATACATATGAATTACATAATTCAATTGAAGAAACAAAGAATAATTATGGTATAATTGGTTTCTATTATTTTAGAGAATTTATAAGTATAATTGAAGAGTAGATTAGGAGAATTAGATGAATGGAGAGATAAATATAATAAATTAGAAAATTAGTTGAGTACATATTAAGGAATTGAAATAAAGAATATGTAAGTAGAAGGATAATTGAAAGGACTTGAAGGTTAAGCTAATTAATGGTAAGATAGATATTGGGAAATGGTGGATGAGAGAAATAAATTATAAAATTAAATATTTGAACTTAATGAAAGATTAAATGCTGTTTAAATAGAAGCAGCTTAAAGAAACAATGCTACTGAAATTAAATTAAGAGATGCAGAAATTTTGAAATTAAAAAATTTAATTTAACATTTATAAGGTTAGGTTGATGAATGGAGAAAGAAAACTTTATAAATGGAAACTGAAGTTGAATTAAAATAATAAGATTTAGAAGCTTAAAAGATGAAGGTAGTTAAATTATAAGAATAATAAAATAATTTAAGTATGACTATTTAATAGAGAAGTAAATTAATTAATGAATAAAATCTTGAAATAACTAATTTATAAAATAAATTATTGGAAATAAATGTTTTAAATTAAGAAATAGGCAATCTTAATGAAATGTTATAAGTATAATAGACAGCAATGACAGAATTAAGGAAAGAAATATCTAGATTAGAAAATAATTGTGGTGAATTAAGACATGAAAAATTATTAAAGATTGAATTTGAAAGTGAAAATAAAAGATTAATTGTTGCTGTTGAAGAACTTAAATAAATAGCTAATGATAGAAAAAATTAATTAGATTCATTAAAAATAAAATATGGTAATTTAGAAATTGAAAAGAATTAAATTTAATAGAGATTAGAAGAAACTAAATATTTAACAACTTAAATTAAATAATTAAATAATGAAAATTAAACATTAATTAGAAGAGTTAAATATTTAGAAGATTAAATAGAAGCTAATAAAAATGAAATTTAAGATTTATAAGCTAGAATTTAATAATTAAAATTATTTGAAATAGAAAATAAGAAATTAAATGAACTTATTATTTTGAAAGATAATGAAATATAAAATCTTAGAAGAAAATTAACTTAATTTGAATTATAACCAAAAAGTAAAGATACAAGTGAATTAGAAGCTAGAATTAAATCATTATTAAATGTTATTGAATAATTAAAAGCAGAATTTGCTTAATTATAAGAATAATATGATAAATAAAATAAATAAAACATGTTATTATCTTAATAAATGGTTTCTATTGAAATTACATAAGAAACTCGTATTGAAGATAAAACTGAAATTAATTAATGGACATTAAAATCTAATTAATTATCATCTGAATTGGATCTATTATCTAAATTAAACTAAGAATTATAAACTAATTGTGATTTCTTAAATGATTAAATGAGATTATTATAAAAATAATTGATTGCTAGAAGATAAGAAGTTGAAGATTGGAGAAGATAAGCTGGTAATTATTATGTTGATGCTACTGAAGCTAAGAAATAACTAAAAGAAATAGAAGCATAATAAACTTTATTAAATACTGAAAATAGTAAATTAATTAATGAAATCAAATAACTTAAAAATTAATTAATAGATGAATAAAATAATTCATAAAAAATTTCATTATAATCTATTGAATAAAATTTGAAATCTTAAGGAGAAATCAATTAAATGATGCAAGACTTATAATATTTAAAGATTCAATTATAAATAAAGACTGAAGATTGTGAAAATTAGAGAAGAAAATACTTATAATCAGAATAATTAAATCATGATCTAAAAGGAATTGAAGAGAAATATACATATGCAAATGCATAACTCACTTAAAGTAAATTAGATAATGAAAGACTCAATTAATTATTAAGGGAATAATCCTAAAGTTAACCTTAAAGTCAAAATAATAATGAATCTAATGAAGTACTTTAATAATAATTATAATAATTATAAAGCAGATATGATAAATTATAATAAGAATATTTAAATACAGCTACATAAATTCCATTATTAAAATAAGAACTAGCAGATAAAGATTTGACACCTTTACAAAAAAGAATTGATGAATTATTAAAAGAAAACTAAAAATTAACTTTAGCATTCTAAAATAAAGTAAGAGAATGTGAAGAATTAAGAAGTAGATGCAATACCTAAGAATCTAGAATTACAGATTTAAGATTTTTGGAAAAGAGTTTACCTGAATTATAAGGATAAAATCGTTAATTATAATAATAAATTGAAGATTAACTTAATGAAATGACATTATTAAATTCAGATATTGATAAATTAAATTAAAAAATTGCAAAATATCAATTGTAATTAAAGAATTATTAAATTTTATAAAATGAATATGCATCATTAAAGAGCATTAGTAATGTAAAAGATTAAGATATTGCTAAATTAAAGACATCAAATTATTTAATTGGAACTGATTTAGAGAATACATAAAAGATTAAATAAGAATATGTTGATAAATATGAAAAGGCAGCATCAGAGAAAGAAGAAATTAAAGCAACTTTGACTTAATTATAAATGGAAGTTGATAGATTAAATAATCGTTTAGGTAAAGCAGAAGTAAAAGCCCTTGAAGCAGAAAGATTAGGTTAGAAAGTAATGATTGTTGAAGGTTAATTAGGATAATCTTAAGAGGAAAACTTTGCATTATAAACTAAAAACTAATAATTAACTAGTTAAGTAAAAGCTCTTTTGACTTAAAATGAAAATTAAGAATTTAAGATTAATCAATTAATACCATTTAGAAATCAATGGGAAGATTTATAAAATATTGTTTAAAAAGAGTAATTATATTATTTTTTATTTTTAGTTAAAATTCTTTAGCTAATATTTAAGTTTAATTAGCTTAAGCAACTGAGACAGCTAATTAATATTTAAAAGATTTGTAACATGCTTAAGAATAATTAAAGAGTTAAGAATAATAGATTTAAGAAAGATCCAAAATTATTGTAGAATTAGAATAAGCAAATGAATAACATATTTCATAATTGAATCAATTCCAAAAAAGAAATAATGAAATTTAAGAAGAGAATTTCTAATTAAAAGTTACCAATCAAAATGCTATTTTAAGATTAAAGAAATTAGAAGCTATTGAAACAGATTATGCTAAAATTATAGAGGATTCTTAATAATTATAAGATTAATGTAATGATTTGAAAGATAAATTAAAAATTAAAGAAGCTGAAGCTGCTTAATTTTAATATTGGAAAGAAAGTTTAGAATCAAGAGTAGCATTGTTAGCATCTGAAATTGAAAGATAAAAACATATGGTAAAGACTAAGAATGATGAAATTGATAATTTGAAGGAAGCTAATTAACGTTTAGAAACATTAGTTACTTAATTATCAGCTTTTGAAGGAGATGCTAGAAGATCTGAAGAATAAATTATTTAAATGAAAGGATAAATTGATACTATTAAATAAAATTTGGTTATTAAATAAAAGGAATGTGAAGATCTTAAATAAATTAAGGAAAATGTTGAATAAAAAAATACTACTTTATTATAGGATATTGATTCTTTGAAATCTAATCAATTATCTTTAAGTGTTAAATCTGAGGATCTTATTTAAGAAGTTTAAAGATTATAAAATGAATGTAATTAAATGAAATAATTTAATGGAATCAAAAATGAATTAGAAAGTAAGATTTAAGCTTTAAATAAATAATAGGATGAATTATTATAATAATTATAAAGTAAGAATAGAGAATTATTGGATTTGAAATAAAAGTAATTATATAATATTTATTTAGATTAAATGATTATGATTCATAAAATTAAATTATTAAATAATTATAAGTAGAAGAATAGAAATTATAATTATAAATAGTTACTTAAAATAAAGAAAAAGAGGAATGGCATGCTAAAATGGATTTATTATAAAGATAAATTGAAAAATTAGAAAAATCTAAAAATGATCTTGAAAATAAATGTGCATTATTAGCAGGATAATTAGAAGTTTAAATTCAAAAATATTCAAAATCTTAAGGTGAGAATAGTAGAATGAATGATTAAATTATCATGCTTACAGATGATAATGATAGATTAACATAATCACTTTAAAATGCATTAATTGAATGTGATGATTTAAGAAAGAAAGCATAACCATTATAAACATCCTTTATTCAAAATTCAACCATAATCAAATCATCTTCAGTAGTTCATAGTTGAGTCATTAAATATTTACATAAAAATTAAAAAATATATTATTTTTTTTAATAGATAATTCAATATCAATTATAATCTTGATTATTTATTTCATTTTCAATTAAGAATAATAATTCTATTAGTTCTATTATTATTTAAATATTATATTTATTCTATTATATAATATTCTTTTTATCATTTTATTATTTATTTAATTGTAGATATAACAATATAACAAAAATTAGGAATTGTTCAAAACTTAAATGAAATATTTGAATATCAAATTTAAGATTATATATTTTAATACTAAATAAATATTGTAATAATAAATTTAATAATAATAATTAGAATAATCTAATTAACATAAATGAATATTAATTTAAATGAGATTTTATCAATTTAACTTCTTTTATTATATGCATTTATTGATTTTTATTATTCTATAACATCTTCAATAATTATTCATTAAATAAAAACTTAAGAACAATATTCATTATTTAAATTGTACCAATTTTAGGAATGTTGAAAAAATAAAAGATTATATGATCTAAAAATTATATAATATAAGGATATAATAAAAAATATAGATTGTATATATGTTAAGGAGAAGAACCAATTAAGAATGAGACATAAAGAAATTTAATTTAATATAAGGAATTTATGAATTGATATTTTATTGATATAAGTTTCGAAGGGGATTAGGTTAGTTTCTATGGAGGATATAGGAGAAATACTATTTACTGATAAAATATGTACATTAAATATATTTTTAGAATAAAAGTATTTAGTTTTTGAAAAATAATAGAGTGGATTGGCTACAATCCACATTAACAAAGATAATTATTTCTGATCCAATTTATGATTTTTTTATTAATTTATTTGTAAAGGTAAGATTTTCATTTTTTTCGAATTCTCTTTTTTTTAATTGTTTCTATGTCTTGTTTATTTGAAAATTTTCTTAAGAATTCTCGATCTTCTTTAGATATAAAATCATCTCTTATATCATATTTGAGAAATGGTTCTTCCTATTACTATTTAATATAGTTTAACAGGTCATTCAAATTTTCTCTGGTTTAGAGTCTTTTGTCATATTTTGATTTTGATTCTTCTTTGGATAGAGTATTATAGGCTTCGTTTATTTAGTGAAATTAATCAGTTGCCTTAAAATCACTATTCTTATCCTAAAAAGACATCAGCAAGTTAATACTGGATGGCACTAAAGGGCCAATTTATGATAGGCTTTCTTGATTTGGTTAGGTTAAGCATTCCTTTCTAAACCCAAAGTGTCATAATGATTTTTCATTATAATTAATCGATCTGAACATCCCTAAATAAAGAATAGAAATTCTGGAACAAATTTTATTATTATAAATATAATTAAGCTTCGACATTTCTTTTGCCTAAGTTATTGTATAACTCTACATTCAGATTTAGATGATGAGTGTTTAAATTAATATATTTATACATAAATTTATTAATTTTAATAGGTAATCTATAAATTTTTCCATAATCACAACTATTTTAATTCAAATAATTCCAATTCTTGGTTTTTATACTTTTAAGCAAGTATAAATTAACCATTAATAGAGATTGCCTGATTATAATATTCACCATTTATTGATTATTTATGAACTATCTAATCTTTCACAATTTTCCAGATTTCTATTGTTTTTTATAAAATAATTAAATATTAATGATTTTTATTATAAAATAATTTTTTGACTTGATTTTAAGTTTGTATCTTTAAATAAAATATATAATTCTTACTATTATCTAATTTCCATACATAAACATTTTCAGCTGCTGTATATATATTATCATAATCATCAAAAACAATATCAGAAATTAATTCTTAATGTTTATCACTTATTTATTAATGTAAACTCCATTATCCATTATTAGATTTCCAAATAATTATACTTTTATCGGCACTTCCAGATGCAAAATATTCTCCAGAATAATTCCAAGCTAAACTTGTGACACTTTTTTTGTGTTCTTTTAAAGAAATCTATTTTTCTAATTTTAACTCTTTTCTATTCCATATAACAATTTTATGATCTAAACCAGCAGATATAACCTAAGATTTAGATTCATTTATTATTATTTTATTAATTGATTAAGAATGTCCTTTATATTATGAACGTAAATGCCAATTCTAATTTTCTTTTTGCCAAATTGAAATTAAAGCATCTTGACTTGCAATTATCATTAAGTTTAGATTAGCTTCAAAACAAATTCCTGTAATATTATTTATCTAAATTAAACGCTGATTTATAAATTTGCTATTCTCAAAATTAATTTCCATAATTCCAGAACAATCACATATAATAGCCTTATTGTTATCTTATTAAAATAATATTGGATCAATCCATTTATCCATTTGATAAGTTTAAATCACTTAATAGTTATTTCGAAAGACTATTTATTATTCTGAATCAATTTTAGTAGCTTTTATTGTTGTCATATATTAATCAACAATATTCTGAACCTTTTCTAATTTATTCTGTAGATTTGTTAAATAAGCACTCATATCTAATTATTTGAACTAAAATAAATTATTATTCTAATTATTTTCTAATTAACATATCATTAATGCAAGATTTTAAAGATCACTTAAAGATTTAATCTTTATTTCATTTTCAATATTTGCTTAAGATTATAGTTATATTTTCTAGTTTTCTATAGAAAGGAAAACTTCATTAAAAACAACTTGGATTTCTTTATAAAATGATTTTATTTTTTTTTCTATAAAATTCATTTCCTCCATTATCTTATCTATATTAGTATTGATAATCTAGGTTTCCAAAAGTCTTTAAGAATTGATCTTATTTTTTGCTTCTTTAATATTATATGCTTTTTTGATATTACAACATCCTTTACAACAAGCCCTTTCTCCTAGAGGAATTCCTTCATGAATATCAAGAAATACGATTTCATAATTATGAATAGGACAGAAAATCATTATATCTTCATCGAGCATGAATAAATTATTTTATTAAGAGAAATTAATGAACTAATAAAAAATATAGAATTAGTTATAATAGATAATTATTTAGTCATCCAAAATAATTTAATTTAAAAGTACAATCTATTATGATTCTAAAGAATTATTTCATAATTTAAAAATAGTGAAATGATAAATGAATAACAATTGAAATCGTATATAAAATTTATTTAGAATAATTCAATTTAAAAGTAATAAATTCAAAATGTTTTTATTCTCAAGTTAATCATTATTTTATCTAAATATATTAGATTTTAAGAATGAAGAATATATTATTTGTTGAAATCAAAGTAATCATTGAATCTTAAATTTATTATTGAGTTTAAACTTTATATCATTTTAATATTATTTATTCTAAAATTTTCAATTAACACTTTCGTTTAACTAAATTTTAAATATAAGTCTACATTTCATAATAATTTTAAAATATTTATTTCAATGTTATATATATATAGTTTTTAATTGCAATTTATTAGTAAATTTGATATATAAGAGATAATTCAATAGTTTATGTTAATCGATTATAAATATTATATTATTAAATTGCTAAAAATAATTAATTTTATTTTATTGATAAATGAGTTTTTAAGGATTTTTAGTTAAGAAAACTATCCAACAATTTCCAATTAGATAAAAGCCTGTTTATTATGATGATTTTACTGATTAAAATTTTGTTCTTTTTATAAACAAAAAGCTAGCTGATCTACGATGTATAGTTTGAATGTATTAGTTTAAAGTGGCAGTAATGATTTATCAGCTAAACGAATAATGAACTTAAAGATAAAAATACCAAAGGATAAAAATACTGAGGGACATAAAATAATAAGAAAAGCTTCATTAAAACATAAGTCTTTATCTGTTTAAAAGGATGATTCAGAGAAAAAGTTTAAGTACAAGTTTAGATCTCCACCAATTAAACCTGAGGTTAGATTAGCTTCATATTTAAATGATGAATTACTTAGATAGCATTAAATAAGTCCATTATATTAAGAATATAAATTAGCAAATTTAAAAGCTAACTTAGTAAAATTGCAAGCTAAGAAATCTTATTAATTAAATGAATTAAATCATGTTGAATTAGAAGATGAAGAATAAGTAAAATATTTTCTTACAGAAATTTGCAGAAATCATCCTGAGATTGATATAGGGAAATTATTAAAAGTGGATGTAGAAAAAAAAGAATAAAAATTAGATAATTAAGAATAAATATTAAAGGAATTAATTTAAAAAAGAATAAAATAAGAAGAATTAGAATAATTAATGAAATTGGAACAATAATACAATTAAAATCTAGTAAATATTTATAAAGAAACAAGATATGATTAATTTGAACCTGAATTTAAGAAATAAGGATAAATTAATATGTGTAAAATAAAGAAATAAAAAGAAATTTAAGATAAAATGTTTGCTTAAATATTTAAAGTTAAATCTCATCATTCTTAAAGAAATAATACTATTAAACATTTCTTTCATACCAAAAATAAAACTCCAGAATCGAAACATAAAGTTACACTTTCATAATAATTTACACCTACAAATAACATCTTTATTTCACAACCTACTACTGTATAAATATCACCATAAACTTCTATTCATTAAGAATTCAAATAAATGACTACATCTATTGGTACTTTTAGTGACAGTAGATCACCTATTAATATAATTAATAATGATTTTAGTTAAAAAATTAAAACTATTATGGATAAATGTGAATTATTTGAGGATGAACATAAAATATCAAATTAGATATTGAAAAAGAGAATAAATATAATGGGTAGAGAATTAAATACATATTTTGATACAGCCAGAAGTAGATACAAAAATTAGGATATGGAAATAGATACAAATGAAGGTTTTGATAGATTTTTATAAGAAAACTAATTTAAAAGAAAATTAATTGAATTTTAGGTTAGTTAAGTATAAAATTTACATGAAGTATTAAGTCAAAAAGCTAAAAGAGAATTGACTAATAATTTTATGGGATCTGATTTAGAAAAATAGAAATTATTTTGATTTTAGATTTTATTTATATAAAATTATGAGTTTTATATCTGATTAGAGTTCAGAACAATCTGAGAGTGATGATTCAATATTTCAAATAAACAATATATAGTAACGTAAACATTTATCTGATGTGGATACAATTATCGCAATATTAAGTATTGAACCATAGAATAGATCATATACATAATTATAATTGTTGTATGATAAATTTGAATAGTATGTACATTACTTTTAATAAATACGTAATAAATTGAATCCTAATATACTAATTAAATTGATGTAAACCATTTCGATTGAAAGATTTAATCCATTCAGTGTAGTATTTAATTAAGGGGAAACTGGAAGAAAAATGTATATTATTTTATAAGGAGAGGCTGCTGTGTTAATTAGAAGTCATGATTAAATTGAGATTCATTAAAAAAAGGAAGACAATAAACGAAGAAGTACAAAGAAATATACAATATTATAATAGGAGCAACTAAGACTTTCGATGAGTTAATTTTACATCGTTATTAAAATTACAGGATTGTTGCTTATAAAAAATAATATGATTATTTTGGAGAGATAGCTATAGAACAAAGAATTCCAAGAACAGCTACTGTAATAACAAAAGAACCTTGTATATTTGCTATATTGACATTTGATGCTTATCAAACATTACTTAGTGAATTAAAAGCTGATAATTTATAGTTAAGATAGGTAGTAATTGCACGAATGCATCCTTTTCATTTATTAAATGAATAGCAATTATAATCTATTTTACATAATTAAGAAGAATTAAATATATAAGCTGGATGCATATTATATAAAGAATAATAAATAGTAGATTCAGTTTATCTTATTATTAAAGGTGAAGTACAGGTTTCAATTAAAGAGATTATAAATAATGCTCCAGCAAAGATTCGAGAAAATAAATATTTTGTTAATTTTCAAAAGTAAAAACGTATAAAAAATATTGGACTCTTTAGTGTTGGTTAAATAATAGGAGATTATGAATTATATTTGAATAAGAAAAGTAATGATAAACTTATTAGAAGAACAACAGCAATAGTAAAGAGTGATTCAAGAATTATTAAGATTCCAAGTTAATAATTTATAGATGTAATTGAATATGGTTTATCATAAAAATGGCTTATTAAATATTTGAATGATAAATATGAATAAAAAGAGAAATTACCTATTTTATAAATATAAGATGATACAGAGAAATAAAAGACAAATAATTTTGTATCTCCTTAATTAAAGAAGATGATATTTAGAATAAAATAATATCATGATCATAATAAAATATCAAGTGAAAGATTTTCAAAAGTTAATTATTAATATGATTAAGATATGAATACAGATGATCAACCATTTACAACACTAAAAAATGAAATAAATTTATAGGATAAATCTGTTTTAAAGTATTTAGTAAGAGATTAAATATTACCTAAAAAACCAATAAATAATATATCTTAATTTAGTGTAGAAAAATTTGCATCATCTTTAAAATCTCGTGTATAATTTTCAAAAATATTAACTTAACTTGATGATGATATGAGTTGTTATAGGTTCTATTCTTCACCTATAAAATAAATGATAAGTAAATAAACAAGTATAAAAAAAATATGTTCTCAGATAAACTCTCCTTTATTAAGATAATCATCATAAATGCATTGATTTATATTATCAACTAATTTTTAATTGAAATATAATTTATAATTATATTATTAATTAATTTCTAGTCTGTAAATGTATTGATTATGAGTATGAAAAATATATAAAATTATATAATTATGATTAAATATGTAAAGTATTTAATTAATTATCTAAAAAATTACGTATTTGTATTAGTAATTTAGATATTTAAATATTCTGAAAATAATATGATTCATTTTTGTCTAAAAGTATCTAATTAAAATGAGTTGATTTTGTGATTTAAAGGGAATCTTAATAATTTGATATATAAATTTATCTCATTTATAATAATCAATGATACATTCAGATGAAGAAAGTTTGAACAGTTTCACACCTGAATCAGAGTATTTTATTTATTTATAAATCAGACATCAAGAGAACAATGATGAATTAAAGAATAGAGACAATAAAAAATATGCTATTATTGATTAATCTGTTCGTATTTAACTATTACGTCGTATACTCTCTAAATAATCAACAATAAAAGAGGCAGCTAAAGAGTTTGGAATTAATTTCTCTACAGCCAAAGCCATATTATAAACTTATCGTAAAGAAGGTCGAATAGGAAAGAAAAAAACAAGAGATAGAAATAAAAGTAAATAGGATTTAGGAGATTATAATCAAACAAGAAAAATATAATCAATGTACAATCTTGAACAACCTTTATAAATGAAATCAAATTCACCTGAAAAGAGACCTTCACCACCATCTTTTTAATAAAATATGATTCCAGTAATGAGTACTCCAAACCTTGATAATACATAAATTGCTTTAGCTCTTTGTTAAAGAGAGTTAGCTTAATAAAAACTGCTAAATTTTTAATTATTGATGATGATCTAAGTAAAATAGAATCTAATTTATTTTAGAACTTTAAAAATATTACACAATTATAAGTCAAAGAAGAATCTAGTATAATTAATTGACTTATATTAAATAAATATAAATTATTATGAACATAGAAATATCAAATTCTGATAAAGTGTAATAAGTAAATTCTCAATAGTAATATAGATCTTAATCAAATAAGAGTAATTGTTAAAAGAATAAAAATATTATGAATATGAATAAAAAATATTAACATTTGGATCTAGATTCATTAATTAATAAAATAAAGATGGAGCTATCATTCTTTATTTATAAGCTAGCAAAGTTTTAGTTAAAAACAATTAAGACAATTCAGGATTTAATTTAGCAACAGAAGTAATCAAAATATCAGATGATTTAGATTCTCAAAATATAGGTAAGAATGATCTATTAATTTTTAAGCTGAAATAATGTCAATTTATTCTATAGCATAATTTAGTAAATTGAAAGTACAATTCATAAATAAAGTACTCAAGAAATATCCAAATTATAAAGATTAAATTTGTTAATAAGTAGGTGTAGATTTAATTAACCATAATAAATTTCATTTGGCATGGAGATATCTTATTTAATTATCTGATGTAAATACAGAGATTTAAATGTTAATAAAATGGAATTAGTAATTATCTGAATAAGAAAGATAATATAATTTAATTAGATATTTATTAATGTAAAATTGTAAAGCAAATGAATTAGTAAACTTGGTTAAGGATTATACAATGAGAGTGTTAAAATATTGAATGAATTAATTCCTACAACAGTCACTTAAGAAGCTCTATTTATTCATCTTTTAGTGAAATCAATAAGAATTTAAAGTAGAGAAGCATATGATTTAGTATTTAATAAATTTAAGGTTGTTATTGATGCAGATCCAATATTCTAAGATGTATTATAATTATTATAATTAGTTATATTATAAAGTAGGAGTGAAATACTTTGGATTAAAAGAAAAGGAATAATAATCATAAGGTATTGGTGGATTATTGAGTTAGTTCTTTTAATGAAATTATATATTAATATAAATATTTAAATAATGAGTGTTTTATTTGCTTATGTGAAGAGATGTTATAAATGTTAATGGGGGAAAACCTATATTATGAAAACAGAGAAAGGAGAATTTACAGGTGAAAGTGCTCCATTATGGAAGAATGTATCACCTGCAGCTTTTTTAGCATAATGCATAATTTCAATGTTAATGATTGCAGGAGTTATAGTTGCATATGTAATTGAAATTAATGGATTGGATGATAATTGTACAGTCTCATATAAGCCATGGATTATAGGATAATTGATAGCAGTGTTTTTCTCTGGAATTTTAGATTTTTATATATATAGAGTGAAATATGCATCAGATGATAGATGGTTTAGATTAATAGTTGTAATATTATGTTAAATAGCTCTATTGGTAGCTATAGGTGGTATTTCTTTTTTTTAGGGTTTAAAAGTAATATTAGGATTGGGTGATTAATGTTAATTACCAGATGAAGGAGATGAGAATTCTTAAACTTAAGATGAATAAGAATATTATACACCTGAAAATGTATTTGGAAATTAAATTTGGATGGCAAACTTTTTTATTTCTGCAACTACTTTATTAATTTTATTGATTAAACTAATTGTCTTATGTTTCTTAACAAAAAATATATACTTTAGCACTTCTCGTTTTGTTGCTATTGCTTCTAAACCAGAAGAAAAGAAATTTGTTGATTGATATATTATAATTATTATAATTTAAAAATACTATTCTCTTTTTCTGGTTCCAAAATACAAATTAAACACGAAAATCTTAAAATTGCGCTTAGTCTTAAATAAAAAGGCAATTATTAAAAGGATTTCTCGCCATAAAATAATTAATGAAGATGGACAATAAAAGATTTAAACTGATGCTAGGACTTAATTATGTAGGGTCAACAAGTAAGATATTCCAATTAATCTCTAGACTATTTTGCCTCATCCACTAAATCAAATACTCTCAAAAGATGTGTCAATACATAAACAAATACCTAGGATTTCACTCAAATTGACTATTTAATACAATCTCCATAAATTATTAAGGTATTAATTCTTACAATTTGTTATAGAAAGTTAAAATCACTGCTGAAAGTACTATACACACCTATGAAGATGATTTATATTGCTATGAGAGCATATAAAATGATGAATCAGCACCAATTACCTTTTAGACTAAATCCTCCCCTATTCCAATTTAGAAAGAATTCTATAATATCAATCCACTTTACTTATAAGAATACAATGAAAAAGAATATAACTATAAAACAAGGGCAATTATCTTAAATCGAATTTAAGATAATTGTCAAAATTTGAATAACCCTTTCTCTCATAAAGCTATCTATCTTTATGATCTGTTCCTTTGCAGAATCTAAAGTAAAACCATAAATAATTAAACTCAATTAAGATTTCTATCTTTGGCTATGATCTTTGTGGCAACTAAAATGAATGCTGAAACCCCAAATATTAATTCACTTTTATCATAGTCATCACTTAATATGACTAAACAATAATTAATATAATATGAAAGACTTATCCTTAATGTATTAGATTGGCACACTAATCCTCTAACAATCTAAGATATTATATATGAAATTATTTGCAGATTTTATATTGTTTTTCCAAATTTAAAAGTCTAATCAGATTAGGATTCAAAAATTATCAATTAAATTATAAACGCTATTGTTCTGGATCATAATTATTTGAGTTATACTTTAGAAGATATCTCCTTTTCAATAATATTTGTACTATTTAAAAAAGATATATCTGAAGATTTATATGAAGATTTTCTCAAGATGCATAATAAAACCAAACAGTAAATTTAATAATCTATAAAATTTGTATCAAAATATATAAGAGTTGTTAATTAATTGGTATATTATATTATTTAACATTTTTAGAATGAAAAATAACTTGATATTAATTCATTAGAAATACTTAAATTAGTTTGTGATTGATTATATATATATATGTCATTAGTAATATAATTTAAATTTATGATTGTTTTATGCACTCTATATTCTAGCTTTATTAGTCATAACTTTATTTGATTAATATGAACTTCTGATATCATTTTTAACTTCATTCAATAATTAATCAAAATCATCATCTATTTCCATTTTTTAATTTTATATGCTCTCATAATTTTCATCAAATGTAGAATTCATTATTTATGGTGTCATTCTTTTATCCTTTATTTAAGTACTATTTGAACGACTACCTAAATATGTTTGATTATCATTAAATTTAAATAATTTTCTTCTAGGACCATTTTACATCATAATTGATTATAAATCTTATTATTTTTATGGTAATTTTCTTTAAGTATTTTCAGTTTTAGTATTATTATTAGATATTGTATCAATAAAACTATTATAACATATTCCACATACTCTAACAAATTAAAATTCATCAAATTTTGGTACAATTCTACCTGTTACATCAAGATATAATTTCTAATCATTCAAATGATGAAGATTTCTATGCATTCTTATTTTCCAAATTCTATTTTTTAACACTTCAAATGTATCATTAATTTTTATTAATTTTTTACAACCAGAACATTAAATCATAGTAATATCATCTGTAATCTATTTTTTTGGTTAGAACTATTCAAAATATTCTTAATTATGTAGATAATTCTATGAATTTATGAAATTTAAAGATCTTCTGTTAGACCTACATTTAATACTAGTATTCCACATAATAATTAATTTATCTCCAACATATTTCATGTATAATTCAATTTCATTAACTTTAGATCCTTCAATCAGACTTATTAATTATTCAATTGCTATTCCAACTTTGTTAACTCTTGCTTCAAATATTACTTTTTCACAAACAAATTAACTAACTTTTAAAGTAATTAATGGTTCTGATTAAAGGGGACTTCTTTATTAAATTTATGTTATATGACCTTATTTACAATAAGTAATTAAGTTTTCATTCTGAAATGTTTATTAAATTATAACATCTTAATATAGTTCTGAGAAATTAGTAATGTCAGATATGAGTGCCTCTAGTTCATTACGTGTTAAATATTTAAATTAAACATCTTTTTTATTTAATAATCTCTAAAATGAACATACGTACTTTTCTTTAGAATTAAAAGTATCCAATATACTTTATAAAGTTACATTCTCTTTCCTTTTCTTCAAAATTTTACCAGAACATTATGAACTGGTAAAATAATGTGATATTTTACTACCTTATAAGTAGAATGTTTAAGGAACTTCAAAACAGCATTCTTATTTTGCATATTATTAGGCTTTCCAAAGTTCCCCAACAATATTAAACATTATAATTATAATATACTAAAATTGAAAAATCATATAATTATTAAACTCATTTAAACTTACATTCTAATGTATTAGTAAAATGATTTAATATTTCCTAATGAGGAAGCATCCTATTACACGATAAACAAAAAGCTCTATTTTAGCATTTAACACTGCTACAATGTATAATCCTATCATAGAGTTAAAGTCTTGTAATTTTAGGATTGATTGATTTACAATTAGGACAAGGAATAGTATTGTTCACATTTTCAGGTTCTTTAATTATTTATTTTATTTGAACTTTCTTAACCTCTTCAACTACAGGTCTTGTTACCCATTAACCATTTACTTTTATTTTACATTTATCATAAGAAGGATTATTGTTTTCAAAATGAGAATAATGATCCTTATTAAATAAATCCTAAATTATACTTGTCTCTCAAGTTAAATATCACATAGATTACAAAAATTAGCTCCACATTTACAAGTCATAAAATTACATCCTGCGACCTTTTCTACAAAAATCATGCATTTAGGACATCTACTTGCTTTGAGTAAAACTTTTAAATCTTTATAAACTTTGTCTTAATAGATTAATTTTTATTCTTCACAAGTACAAATGTCTTTATGTTATGGTAAGAAACATAAACGACAATATTCCATTTTACATTTTATACATTTCTAATATTCTAAGTCAATACAATTTTATAAAACCTGCATTCTTCCAGATTATATATTTTTCTCTACAAACCTCGTTTAAACAATTCGCCAATATCTCATCTTCTTCCAAACCAAAAATTTGATTCATTTCTATACTTAATTCACAGTATTTCTTAAAAGATTCTTATGATATAAAATTCTAGATCAATGATTGATCAAATGGAATTTCACAACCTGGACATTTAAAGATATCTAGGTTTATATTTTATTCCTTTATTCTTGTTTCAAAAGTTGATTTTAAACAATTTTTACAAAATGTATGAAAACATGAAGGAAATGTAAAGGCTTCATGATTATCATATGATACTAAACATATTGGACATTCAAACATTATAATAATTATTAAATTAAAATCAAAAGTAGACATATATCTACATAATAGGATCATTCATTAACTAATTTTATTACTTTAGCAGGAGTATTAGTAGTGAATTTTGTTGAAATAATTTTTCCTTTGATCCACCTTCCTCTGAAGGTAGTACCATTTCCTTTTATTATTTATCCATTTCCATGTTGAAGTCCTTCCTTCCATAATCCACTATATTTTTAACCATTTGGCCATAATAATGTTCCATACCCCTCTCTTTAATCATTTACGAATTATCCTTCATATTTCCTTCCATCTGGCCATTAAAATACTCCATTACCACTTTTCATACCATTTTTCCATTCTCCATTGTAAAATCTTCCATTTGGAAATCTCAAAATTCCATTGCCATTCATTAGATCATTTTGGAATTTCCCTTCATAAATAGTTCCATCAGGATATGTTAATTAACCGAAACCACTTTTAAACCCGTCTTAAAAGCTTCCTAGCTTTGGAATACAGAAAAGAGTTTACCCTCATAAATCCATCCACCTTCATAAGTTTATTTGCCTTATCCATTAGGTAAATCATTAATCCATTAACCATCATAGTATGTATCATCTGCAAATGTGTACTTACCATTGCCATTGGCAGTACCATCTTTCCAAGTTCCAATATATAGATCTCCATT